TTTTCTATGAAAAGGTGATCAGGCATAAATTGCCCAGAGAGGTGGTAGAGTCATTTTCTCTGGAAGTGTTCAGGTGGCATCTGGATGTGGCATTTAGGAATATGTTTAGGGATGATTATTATGGTGCTAGATTGGCAGCTGGACTCAATAGTCTTGAAGGCTTCCTCCAACCTTGATCATTCATTCATTCTGTTACTCTGAGGACCATGCTTAGACTATAGTCTCCTGTTTTTCTTGTGCATGTGCATCTGTGCTATGCAGACGCTAGACCTGATTGCCAGCAGTGCTGTTTCCAATGCTGGAAAATGTTAGGGCCACCCCATACCTCTCATCCTTCTCAGGCTTTGGTCATGAGTCCCAACAAATCTGCATTAAAGTCCCCGTCACAAGGTTGGCAAGCCTCTTGGCAGAGACACTCTTGAGGGACTTTTACAACCATATCACCTCTCTCCTTCCAGCCCTTACTTATGAGTGAGGATGCATTCATCTGTTTTGAGACCTGGCTGTGTCTTCTGTCTGCTGACTCATCCCTGAGCCTCTTATTCACGGCCAGAGAATAGACCTTGACTGAGGCAACAGCAGCTCCTGTGCCAAGGTGGTAGCATCTTAGGCCTGCTGTGCAGAGAAGCCTGGCAATAGCACATGCTCTGGGTGACATAAGTCACTTCTGAAATGCAGAGGACATGGATAGAAGAGGCTCTGGGACATCAAAAGTGATTGTGTATCACCAGCCATGCTGAGGAGTATCCCCAGCATGCTGAGTGCTGAATGTGCTGCCATGTCAAGCATGCCCTGGTTGGGAAAAGCATCCAGCTCACATACCACCAGTACATTTCTGGAGTCAGGAACCAAAACAGTTCCTGTTAATTTGGAGAGGAAGCTCCAGTGAATAACAAGAAAAGAATACATCCCATTTGTGGTTGTTTAAGAAATGATACCACACAGGCTGAAGTCATAGCTGCAGTCAGTTTGGCTCCATGGGCTGGCAAGTGAAGAGTTCCCAGTCTTGGCAGCCAGTACATCTCCTCCCTCACAGACCTCTCCAGATACTCCTGTAGCAGTCATTGGCCTCTCCTGCATGACTACTGACATCACTTCTCACTGCTTTTTCCTCTCCTGCCTAATGGTGTTTTCATGATCTCAGATACCTCTAAAAATACACATTTCTGAGGACTGGCAGGATTGTAAAAAAGGATCAAGACTCCCTGTCTTGGCATATGCCTGTGCCAACAGCAGAGACTTCACAACTACTCTTCCTTCCCCAGGACATTGCAGCATTTTGTGACCAGGGAGGCCTCTCTGAGGAGAAGCTTGCTGAAACCTTCTGCTTTTGGATCCCTTCCCTTCTCCCTTCCCTTTGCCCCCTTCAGTGAGGACAGATTGTTCTGGTTGTTGTTGAAGCAAGCTGCAGACTGTTCTTGTTCTATTCTTCACTACTTCCCCCACTTTGCAATGATTAAGGACAGCTTTTCAGCATCAAAAGGTATTTGATCCTAGTAAATGCTGGGCCCATTTAACAGTTTCCTTCTGTGGATAAAAGAAAGAGGGCTGAGCACAGAAGTTTCTCATGCATGTCAGGCTTACATTGCATTGTTACACTGTGGTTGACAGAAAATTGCCAATATTTTTAAGAAATACAGTAGAATTTTAAAAAACCCTAACACCCACAACATTGTTTTTTCTATTTGGCCTGAAATATTCAAGAACAGAAATTGTCATTATTTCAAGGCACAGGCTAGAATGAAACAATTTCTAGTAAACATTAGTAACATTGTAAACATTAGTAAACACTGCTTAACTTCTTAAAAATATATCTTGAAATATCTAGTGTTTTCCTTTTCCATTCTCCAGCTGAAAACAGATTTGTGGTAGATTTTCAAGAAAAGAAAAATTTTAAATATAACTGCCTCTTTTTCTGGAATGCTCCTGGTCTCAAATCACTTTCAAAAAAACTTGTCAAGTGCATTTAGCAGTTGACGTAGCATTAAAAAAACAAACTTTGCTTGTGTTTCCGGACAGCAAGCGAAAAAGGCAAGTAAAGGTAGAGGTTAGGAATGCTGCAGTTGTGTAGCCAGGCAGAGCAATTCATCACATGGACACTGCTGGCAGAGTGCACCCTTTGGGCTGGGAACACTCAAAAGGGGAGAGATGAGGGTCACTGGTGGGGGAGCCAGACATACGTGGAAACTGGGCTGGGGCTCTGTTACAAAGCAGGTCTGAGGCCAGCAGGCAGGTTGGTGGTGACCACTCTCCCAGGAATTAGCTCAGTGGCATGAGCACAGTCTGCATGTGCCAGCTGGTCTCTGCTCTGGAGAACAGACGATTAATTTCAGCTGGATAACTACAAACCACACAGGGAGACAGCATTTTTGGATATAAAAACATTATATTTAGAGTCAGAGTTCAGTTCTGTTTGGAACTAGATGACCTGTGAGGCCCCTTCCAATACAAACCATTCCATGATTCTGTGATTTAATTGGATTACAGCTTGGTTTAAAATCAGAATACTTTCCCCTTGACAATGTACTTACCACAAGGGCTTCTTTTTTAGTGCATGTGAAACTTTCTTAATTTTAATGTCAGGAAAAAACACATTGGCTTATCCTGTAAATTAGTCTTCTCTGCTACACAGTGTTCTGGGACTTCATGATTGCTGTTTTTTCTTAACTTGTATTCCGCCCAAACAACCCTGCTGACTTCCCTACCAAGGACAAGGAGATAAGCTCATACCTGTTCCCATAGCTGAAGAGCTTCTCCACAACAATGATTACAGCTGGCACATCAAGAAACAGTACTAGAAGTTGTAAACTAAAATGCAAAACAACTAGGGACACATTTTTTTGAGACAGTTCTTATAAAATTTATAAGGCATTTCTTATACCTTCCCTCCAGGCTAAATTCACCACAAAAATCTTAATTTTAAAAAACCTCATTTACCTTGAATTGGCTCTGTCGTGATTTTATAGATCATGTTAGGCCTCAGTATATTTTTCTTAGTTAGTTCAGTCCAGTGATGAACTACAAACTGAGCAGACAGTTCAGGCTGTTCAGACAAAACTGACAATCAAATAGGTATGCATGTATTCAGCGGTAGTTAGAAAATGATGAGAAAAGATTTCAGAGTTCTGATGAAAGCTCTATATCCTTTACAATAAATTCTGAATTCACTGAACTCTGCTTACAGCTTTGTACACAGTAACAAAGCAGGTACAACCAAATAAATTTTGCCACGCCCTAATGTAATCTGAGACACCTGAAAGCCTGAAAATAATTTTTCAGGCTGGTAACTCATTAACCACCTCAGAAATGGCACAATCCTGATTCCAGAGGAGTCTAGGGTAAACGTCCATGTGTGTCTGTATGTGGCTGGGCTCACTGACAAAGGGAAGGAAAGGCAACAGAATGCAGCTGAATATCTAGATATTAAATTATATTTTTGCTTTCAAAGCCCATCCCGTTGTTTCAATCTACTGCAACCCTCTAAAAGTCAATGCAAATTCTGCACTTGAAGAATTTCTTTATTCAGGAGGGAGGCCGAAATCCAAGGACCAACTTGTTGTTCCATTAATCTATTTCTCCAGCCCTCAGTGCCTCTGTTTTGTCTTTGCAGAGTGTGTGGACAGGCAGCAGCCCAGATAATGTTCTTAGCCCTTTATTTCTTCTGTGTTCCCAGGAGGTCTCTGGAGATCAATTCACAAAACAAAGATAGTGGAAGGAAGGACATTTTCACAAAGGTAATATTTTTGAATCAGTAAATGATTAAATAAGCATTGTTCCCTGCTTGTGCATTAATGTGCAATCAGCTGCAAAATTATATGAGAAATATCAAAAGAATATAAAAATATATTAAGATATTCTTAATGATAAAAGAATATAAGGTAAAAGAATATAAAAGAATATTCTAAGTCTTGCACAAGCTTTGGTTTAGTACCAGGAAGTACCTGTCGATGAGAGATAAGCAGCCTGCCAGGATGCAAGTGGTATTAGTCTAGAAATTGCCTAAAATAATTTTGTGCTTTTGCCAGGAAACAATGCACTTTTTCATTCTTGCTCAGTGTTTCATCCATGGCCAGAACAGGGCTCTCCCTTAAATTTCCACACACTTTTCACACTGACTTGTACATGCTGCCTTTGCCATCAGCTTTGATCTTACATGTTCACCTTGCTGTTGCCCTAGAGGGCCAGGGAAGACACACAGTCTAATTCCTACCCCTAAGGAGTCTACCAACTTCCTGATTCCCTACCAAAGCGGTATGTTATCTTACTGACAATGTTTGTGACCTTCTGCAGATCCAGTTGCTTATAGGTGTGTCTAGGTAGAGAGCATTTTTTCCTCATCATATGGGTGTTTAACCTTTTCAGCTTTCTTCTTGCTGCAAATGAACACAAGCTCAGTATCTCCCCAGAGGTTTTAGCCACCAGTGGGCCTTCAGAGTGGCAATTAATCATCAGAGAAAAAAAAAACATGCTGGTGAGGATTTCTTTTTTTTTGTGAACCACAACTGACAGTCTTTTACTTACTACTTTTTTACTTACTACTTACTCTTCTATTATGTTTTGAGTTGAATCAGAGAGTTTTTTCAACCTTCTCAACTATGAAAGCAGAGAAACATGTTTTAAAAACACAAGGCCTCCAGGCAATTCAGCATTTTCCCACAGCCACTTTCCCTCTGTCTTACTGCTCAGCAAGGAGCAGCACAAGGTGCCTCCCACTCGTCTCTGCTCTCCAGCCCAAGTGGGCAGAGATGAGAAGAATAGAGAATATTTTTAAAAGAGAGAAAATAAAAAAGTTATCAAAACCCCATATCAATTGTCCAGGGAAGCAAGCACAGCCTCCATGTCACCTTGGAGATCAGCTGGCAAACTCCAGGCCTCCGAAAAAGGGGGGGGCCAAGGGCAGCCGGGTGTGTAAACAAGTAAAGCGAGATGGATAAAAAGCTTTGCATTAAGGCTGTGGCCCATTATCACTTCAACTCGTTGCGTGAGCCTGGAACGCTGTCCGAACCTCCTGAACACGTCTCTGTCCTGGTTGGAGCCCTGCGATTCAAAAGAGAAGGTAAAGGATTTTTTTCTCCTGTGTTCTATCTCACAGCAAGTTTCTCTGATCAGCCAAGAGTAGTTTAATGAATTTTAATTAAATTTAACTGTTAAAGCTAATATTTTTAATCTAATTTTTAAAAACCTAATTTTTAATTTAGATATCTAAATATATATGTATATGTCCACCTCTCAGAAGGCTGAAGCGTGATGGTGCTGGTCATGATCGAGAGAGAGATGGGAGGCTGCTGCAGAGGGGTCTGAGGGGCTAGGAAGCCAGATTCTTAACAAGGTGTTTAGATGGTTGTCAAATACTCCTGCAGTTTTCATGCTTTTAGTAATTTAATGAAATTATAAGTAAACTAAATGTGTTCAATTGTTTAAGGCCACTTAATCTATTCTTAGATCCTGAGATGTTCTCCTCTGGGGTGGGTGGTGTGCTGCTAGTGTCTTTGGTCAGGAATGGGGCTTTCAGGGGCCTGGGCAATCCAGAGCTGCGTATGGGACTCTGCACATCATACTGTAGTGGCTTTTACAATTTTTATAGGAGGTTCTTGGGCTCAGCTGAAGGATAATATCTATACAAATGTTGCAGAGTTTAGACTGAATCTAACTCCTTCCAGGTTTAATCCTCAAGTGCAGAGGAATGTAAAGGGATCTGGTTGCTGAACAGCCTAAGATTCTTCTGGAAAAATGCAACCCAAAATTTAGGATTTTGTATTTGTTAGGAATAAATGCAATCATTTCTGTTTGGCCTGCACAACACAACATTACCTATAGAAACAAACAATACTGACAGTGTGGGGTATTGTAATTTTTCATAGCCTAGGCTATTAAACATAACTCTCTAGAATTCAGAATGAAAATAAACACTGCTGGTTAATTTCACTGAGTGAGAAATCTGATAGTCTTGGATAAGATACACAAACTAAAACCATGTGGAATTAATATTTTCACCTGTTATTGTTTTATTAATGGTATTCAGGTGGAAGATATTTGTACACTATGCAGGGAACTGTTATATTCAACAAACCTTGATTGCATCTTTAATTACTTCACATAATCCAAAAAAGAGCAAGAGCAAAATGAAAGGGGAGGAAAGAACATGTGAATTTGTGTGATTCCTACCCCCTTGCACAGATTTGGAGTCTTTTTTGTGCGGCTGCAAGCCCAGGCAAGCTGCAGCCATCGCTGCCCTGAAAGCTGTCTCTGACTTCCAAGGATTCAGGTGAACGTGCAGACAGCAGGTGGGGCACCCACACACACTCCCAGATAGGAATAATAGGCCCTCAGGGAAAGAGCAGGAAGGGTCTTCACGTAGTGTTCCAGGAAAGATTTTTTTTGTGGGAGGGTCTAGAGACAAACATCCAGGATAACGGCAGGAGCAGGTTTAAATATGTAATTTATTATTACATATTGCAAGTGGGGTGCAAGGGGGTGGCACATGGGGCAGAGGGCCAATGCTGTAAGGACTTAGGGGTGGTACAAAAATGGGGAAAGCAGCAACAGGCAACAGGGATGAGGGGCCAGAGAGACAGGGATGTGAGGTGGTAATGGGTAGCCAATGGGGAACCGAGAGCCAAGAACATTCTGGAACTGGGGAAGGATTTAAGGGTGATATAACCCTTTATACCCTCAGATCTGAGTCTTTCACCTCACCACGCAGCGAGGTAACCCAGGAGCCTAAGGTGCTGATTTCTAGAGTAACTGTTTTGGTATCTCCCCAGCAGGCCCCAGGGCCTCCACATTTTTTTCTTACAATACAGCCTAGGAAAGATTTACCTCTAACTTAAACCTGCAGCCAACAGAAATAAGAAAGTGGTACCTAAGTGTCACTATGGACCAGTGTTGCATGTAACAGGTTTTATATTTAACTGGTTTTCTGTATTTTCTGGATGTATAAAAAGGGCTCTCAAATGCTTACTGCCATGTGGCACAGGAAGCCAGGACCTGTTTAAGAGGCTTTAGTGTGATGTGAAAGTGCAAATACTTTACAAACAGACTTTAAATGCAGAGTTTTTTATAGAAACATGTTGTTGGTGATTTAGTTAGTGAACATTATTGAGAATGCAGAGCTGCAAAGAGCAGCAGAAATATTTATTATTAGTGTTTTTAACCTTGATACTTGGGAGTAAAAAAAGTGGGAATATCTTTACCTATGCTACTAGTGAGATTATTGGAGTGCTCTGACCCAATTCAGAAGGAACACTGGGAAAAATTGAAAAGTTCAAGAGTAACAGCAGAATTATCTGTTTATTATATTAAACATCTGGAAAACCATTTTGTACCAGGAGCCCTGAGCTATGCCTAATTACTAAGCCTAAGTGAGTTTAAAAGAGACCTTCAAGTACTTACATCTGGACACATTTTAATAGGTAGCTCTTAAATCTTGTAAAAGAGAGTAAAGCAGCATCTAATATAGTAGAAATTCAGACTAGAAACAACTTCTATTAAAAGAAAAAATATTCAATACTGGAACAACTTCGCCTAGAGATGGTGAATTCTGAGGCAGAAATGTATATAGTTAGAGAAGTAAACTTTATTCTTACTGCAGAAATTACAGAGGATTGGCCAGTTTCAGTGGCTTTTATTGAGGCTCAAGACATCATTACAGATAGCAAATCAGATTATCCCTCCCTAGGATCAGTTCATGAGCCTTACTGCAATGATCATCTGATGCACATTACAGTATTCTGGAAATTACTTCACTGTAATTTCCACTACACTCTTTTCACAGTGTGTGTGTTTGTGTAGATTTTTGCAAGGTGCAGTAGACACGAATTATGTCCTTGCTGGTCACAGTATTTGTAGAGCTCCATAAAGACAACATAGTGTAGAGAGAAGCACACTGCACAGTGATATGATTGCATAATGTACTCTGTATATAGATGTACAGTTATACACATATATTGTTATATACATGTATATATCTCTCTCTATATATATCTATATATATATATGTAGTTTTATATATATATGTATACACACATATATAGATATATATAAGCAATAGTACATTATTGTATAATGTAAATATAGTTTGCACTGTGCTTATGTAACCTCACTGTATTTTAAATTCTTTCCAGCTAAACATTTCTCCTTAAGGACAGGTCATTGTTTGCAAAAAACATATTTGGCTGCTGATCTCACACAGCTGTGAGATCTTCCTGATCACTGGTTAATGAGTTCCCAGAAGAACTTTGCTTGCTCTGTCTGAAGCAAAGGCCAAAATGCTCTATATTTTACCTCTCTAGACTTCTACAGTAAGTTAGTACTGAAACATTTGGGGAGTACAAAACTATTTTTTTTTCTGTTTTTCAAAGCCCAGCTGGAGTCATCTGAAGTGGTTATAAAATTCCGCATGTATGGCATTACCAGCAGTAATAGCCAATGTTCTGTAAACAGGATTGGAGTTGTTAAGATGAAACAGTTTAATTCCATGTTTCTCAGAAGTTTTGTCTGACCATTTCAGTTCACACTTCTGCACATGGAATGATAAAGGGGTTGGAAGTGCCATGTGCACTCACAGTGCCTCACAGGGCTGCTCAGCTTCATCTCCTCATCCCAGCACTGCCTCAGCAGAGCACCAGTGGCTCTCTGAGTCTAGAGCTCTGCTGTAACTTTTGTGACTCTTGAGTGTCCTGCTCCAGTGGTGCTTGAAAGGCTGGAAAATATTTTGCGAGGCTTCATGACCTGCTGCAGACCATCAGCCAGGCTATGGAACAGCAGTCTTGGCCCTGAGCATGTGCCCAGGATTCACTGTGGCCCTAAAATATCAGTATGAGCATGGGCAGTCCTACTTTTCTTAGCACTAGGCACAAGTAATCCCTGTGGGAGAGGGAGTGGGTCTCTGCTAGCCTGTGCATGCTGCTCTTGGCGGTGCTGTGCAGCACTGTAGAGTCAAAAGCTGGTTTTCCCTATTTTTATTCCGCTGTTTTCCTCTGAGGGAAGCTGGAAGGCCTTTGTTGTCAGTATATGAAATCCTGGGGTGCTAAATACAGTGGAAGTTTAAGGTTTTGATTTGTTCTGCAGTTGCGTTAGAAAAGGAGTAGGTGTTATGTATGTGCTGTTGCTCAGACATGCAATGGGAGAAGTCTCTGCTCTGCAGAATTGGGGTCTCAGTGGACAAAAAGTGAATCAAAGGCAAAAGTCCTCATCAAGGGTAATTTTTATCTTTCTGTGTTCAAATGATAGCTGCAAACCTGGCCAGGCGGAAGAGGCTTGGCAAGGATGCTGTGGACACAGAAGGAGCTACACACTCCTGAGTGCACCCACCAGCTGTCACAATGTTCTCACACTGTAGGCAGATAATTCTTACATACAGTTTCCTCTCTTCATCTGGATTAATCACAGGGTGGTTGTCTGAGCCCTCCTTTCATGATTGGTGGCCTATATTGTCAATTTCTCTTTATGATAGAAGGATATAAGGAAAAGGAAATAGAGAGTCAAAATAGGTTCTCATGGAAGAGATGCTACCAGCAGCTTGCAAGTTAGGAATTTGGGGTGCTTTGTATGCAAAGGCAAGTTTAAGCACTATGTCTGAATGTGAATCCATGTCACATCAATGTTTTGGTCTTCCAGATGCCAGGCACAGCAAGACATGACCAAGAGATGGCAACAAATGCTAGAAAAAGACTGTCCCAGACCACTGACGCTCTTGAAAGACTTCGCCTCCAGTGTTTAGCAAAGGGTTCTGCAGGCATTAAAGGACTTGGCAGGTGAGTATCTAAGATGTCAAACCCATTATTCAGCCTAATAGTTTTAGCTGCAAGAGGCTCACACCCTAAACAGGGGCCAAAACTTGAGTCTCCTCATTTCAGTGCAAATGCCACAAGCCACAGAATCTGGCATTGGGTCTCATGTGTTTTGGGACACAGGACTGACCTGCTCACCTTTTGAAGGATTGAAGACTGTGAATCCCTCATGAGAAAGTCCTTCTGTGGGACCCAGAACAAATCCTGCCAAAGAAAGGATGGGAACATTAACCATATATCTATGTTTTCTAAAATTATATAAAGTATTTCAGCACTGGAGATTTTAAGCTTCCTTCCCTTTAGGGTATGATGCCCTTGTTGTAAATGTGTATTAGCTGTCTAGTTTATGTGAGGCACCCAAAATCTTTTTGCAAGCATCTCCTAGGAAAGGGGAGTTGCATCACACCCTGAAATCCCTCCCAGGTCCCATAAACAACAAATGGATTCAGATGGTGACCAACTGGAACTTCATCTAAATGTGCAACTTACAGAGGGCTATAATGAACAGGAATACTATGGCAGCCTTTCCCTTGTTTAACTTCAGATATGTAATATTCATGCACCCAATCTAAACAAGTCACCTCTACTGCCAATAAGTGTAGGGGGTTTGTTGGTTGGAGGGTTTTTTTATTAATTTTCCTTTTTTTCTTTTTTTTCTTTTTTTTTTTTTTTAATTTTCCTTTGGAATACAGAGTAAGGAGGAAATGTTATGCCAGTAAGGTGACTCTGCTTCAGTACTATGTTGTGCTAAACCACTGCAGCATTCTGTTTTCCTATATATTTTCCTCAAATTTCATGTTCTCCACAGGATTTTTAACATCCTTGATACCGACAACAGCAAAACTCTTGATTTCAATGAGTTTCTGAGAGGACTACAACGTTATGCTCTGATGATCAATAAGGAAGAAGCATGGGAGATTTTCCAGGCATTTGATAAAGACTGCAGTGGAACAATTGATTTTGATGAATTTCTTGTTACACTGAGAGTGAGTCTGGAATTCATGTTGTTATTTCATTATATTGATTAAAATATAGCAGAACAGACAAAGTAGAATAGAATATTTGCAAATAAACCATTGTGATTTTTTTTTCAATTAATTGTGGCCTTGATTTAAATTCCTGTCCAAAATTCCTGTCCTGCAGTCTGGGTACCTGTGTGGTTCAGCCCATCAATCTCACTTCTTTGTTGGCCATTTTAAGATGCATCTCTTTATAACATTAACTTATTCAGGGAAGACTTTCTCTAATCCACCGCAGTGAGATTTTGTCTGAAGTATCTTTGCTCTGCTGAAGCCTAAACAATTTAGATAGAAAATATTAGTACTTAGGGTAATTAGTAATTTCTTGTTGGAAATATTTAAAATAGGCAGATCAGAAAAGAGTTCTAGGTAGCATTTTCTCTCTTATTGTCCGTTTGCTATTGTATGGGTAGACACTGAATAGTCTTAATCATATTGCTCTTTTGAGGATATATTGCCCTTTCTAGCTCATGGACAGTGCAGACTATCACCTATATATTGTCCCATCTACCTTGGAAGTTTTGCTGCTAGCAACAGCAAGTACTTGAATTTGGAACTGGGCAAGTAGTTGGCAAAAATAAAATTATTCTGTTAATATTTCTTTACAGCCTCCCATGTCCAATGCAAGAAAAGAGATCATCATGCAGGCATTTCAGAAGTTAAACAAGAGCGGAAATGGTGTCATAACAATTGAAGACTTACGTGGGCTGTATAATGTAAAATATCATCCCAAATACCTAAATGGAGACTGGACAGAAGAACAAGTTTTTAAAGCCTTTCTGGATAATTTTGATTCACCCTATGACAAAGATGGGAAGGTAAGTGAAACACCTATTTGCAAGCCATGAAATCACCATCTGACTCAGAATTTGACTTAAGTTACCAAGTGTGGGAGTAATTGCAGTACCAAGCATCCATTTACATCACATTTATATGGAAAATCAAAGTAGATGGATAACCTGCATACAGCACCCCTGATACAGCTAGCTTGCACATTCTGAGGCTAAGGGGCTCTGCAGGTGGTACAAGGGGCAGTTGTGAGATTGTATTAAGGTTTGTAGCTTTAATAATCAAATTTCATAGATTACACTAAGTATGTCTTCAGACTTCCCCACAAAATTGCTGATTTTCAAGACCCACACAAATTGAGAGATTTTTCACTTCTTAGGAGAATAAATACTAGGATCCAGTTCAAAAGCAGGTTCCCTGCTTTGTTAAATAATTTACAATTAGTTCTTCTGCAGTGTAATTATTGAGACATTTGACTTGGAAATCAGCCCCTAATAGAGACACAGATTTATCTACAGAGAGTTGGAGGGAGAATGAGGATGGGGCTACTGCCATGGGCATGTACCCTGAGGAGCTGGGACAGAGCTGGGAGGCCCTCCTGCACTCTGGCTCAGCTCTCTGGTTCAAGTGCAAAGCCTGAACACGTTTTGTGATGGACTTATACATCTGCTTTGCAACCTTCTCTGAGCCAAGCATGTTGTCCTTCCTCTTGCTACGTGTCTGCAAACTTCTTTGGTCTGAGCTTACATTGTTGACCAGCTCAGCACTATCCTGTATCTTCATGGTTCTCATGGTGATATTCTCTATCTGAGCAGTTAGTCATAACAAACTAGGCTGTAAGTTTTTATCAGTGCTTTGTGGAATGTTTTTAACACTCCCGACTCTCCAGCCGACACCTGGGTTTTCAGGACTGCATTGTCCTTGTACCTATCTAATGTTCCATCTGAATCCTTCACTTGCTTTGTTCCCACCATTCAGGCCCTCAGTTGTAGAGAGGTGATGGGTTTTATCTGCTTTGGACATGAATTTTCACTTAGTAGAGCTCAACTTCATCCCTTCTGCTGCAGTGTCATCCTCAGAGATACCAGTTCGGAGCCAGCTATCCCTTTCCACCTCTACAGCAGTGGTGACATCTAGCAAATTTCAACCAAAATGTTCCTAGTTTTTTGTGCTGAGGTCATACATGAGCACATTAAATGAGTCCCCAAATTGATATTTTATGAGTTCAGTGTCTGAGCATCCACCTCTTGTTCAGCAATTCTGATGTTAGCTCACCTGATTACTGTTTCTTCTGAGAACAGACTGTGACTTTCCTGAATCAGAAGACACTAATGATACTAAATATCTAATTTTTTTTTAGCAGAAATCCCTCAAGGTTGAGCATTTGCTAGAAAGGCCCTCTTCACCATGGTCTTGCTGGGTGCCTCTGAAATAAGCAGTTTTAGTGAGACTTGTAATCATCTTATGATAGTACAACAGTCTGAAGTGGTCCTTTCTCCCTGTTGTCATGTTTTATTGAGTTCTCAGTGTGTGTCTTAACACACAAGGCAATCAGAGCAGATATCATGGAATCACAGAACATGCTGAGTTAGAAGGAACCAGGATCATCAGGTCCAACTCCCAGCCCTGCACAGGACACCCAGAAATCACACCATGGGCCTGAGACCATTGTCCAAATGCTCCTTGGACTCTGCCAGGCTGGTGCTGTGACCACTGCCCTGGGGAGCTGTTCCAGTGCCCGAACACCCTCTGGGGAAAAAACTTTTTCTGATATACAGCCTAAATCTCCCCTGACACAATGTCATTACTTTCCCTCGGTTCTTATCACTGTCACCCCAGAGAAGGGATCAGTGTCTGCCCCTCTTCTTCCCCTCATGAGGGAGGTGTAACTGCTGTGGGGTCTCCCCTCAGTCTCCTCCAGGTTGAACAGACCAAGACACCTCAGCCACTCCTCACAGGGCTCCAGACCCTTCACAATCTTCTTGGCACTCCTTTGGACACTCTGCCATAGCTAAATGTATTTTTAATATTGTTTTGTATTTTTGTGTGTGATGTTTATTCAAAGAATGATCTACACAATTTGAGAGTTAAGGCATCACAAGAGACATGCACAGTTTTTCTCTTGGCTAATTTGATTATTTATTTTTTTAATGGTCATTTTTAAACCTCAAAATACCCATGAAAGCTATTCAAAACTTAGGTATTCAAAATAATATTTGCTTCATTAAGGGAGACGTGTTTAGAGCAATAATATTTTCTCTCTATGGGTGGATAATGAAGTTCCAATCTGTCTCTAAATTGCATCAGAAAACCCATCCACTTTATTAATAATTTTTCAAATAACCAGATTATGACATCCCTGGAAAAAAATACATAAAAAATGTGTCTTCTTAGGCAGCTGTGATTTTAACTTCAGTTCCTGGTAAGGTTAGTTAAACTTCACATGTTTCATCTCCATCCAAGTGTTATGAAGGTCAAGAGCTCTTTTTTCTAGCAAAGTGAAATTAAGCAGATTTTAAGTGTCAAATTTAAGTGTCAGTCCTGTTGGATTCCTTTTTGTTAGGAACCACATGAAATAGCAGATGTTGAGTTTCATTAAGAGTTCTTCTCAATATGTGGTTTTTACATACAGCATTATGTAATTTATTAAATAAAACCATTAAGTGTTCAATAAAACCAAAGGTTCATTTTCCTATTTTTAATTTCTCTGTCTCAGGTCACAACAGAAGAATTCATGAACTACTATGCTGGAGTCAGTGCTTCAATAGACACAGACATCTACTTTATCGTCATGATGAAGAATGCTTGGAAACTCTAATAATGCAGTTAAAGAAGCATGACTTCCCTTTCACATTTTATAGGTTCCTCTGATTAAGTGTATGCACAACAACACCCTCCTGTTCCATAACAAGTTTCCAGTAACTGTGCCAATTACATTCAATCTGCAAAATTAATTCCCAGATGCTTCAGTAGGCTCAGCCTCAGGGGATCAAAGCATAATCAGAGAGTAGATCTGACATTTGGCCACCCCACACATCTGTCCTTTTTCTCTTTGCATCCCTGGTATGTCTTTTTTTTCTGAGATGAACTGCTCTTTTCTTTTCTGGCATCTGCAGTAGGTTGCTGTGGCTCCTGAATGCTCCCCTTGCAATACCAGATACAGTTCTGTTTGGCAGAGGATGCAAGAGATGGAAACCAAAATGTTCTGTAAGTGTGGTTGGACTGGCTTTTATAAATGGAAGTCTGTCCCAGGACGGTCAAGTAGACCTGTCAGCTGTAGCACTGCAGTACCTTTTGGCTTTGTGGGTCTCACTGATGGAGCAACTGCTGATCTCGCTGCTGGGAACATGTGAGTTCCCAGTACCAGGAGGCTGGAGGGGTAATCGAAGAAGGGGAGACATGGACCAGGATAAATGCAAAATTCTTTGAAAAGCCCTGTTTATTTCTCTGTCTCACAACTAAACATATAGACTACTTTCCTGTACACACCATGTTTCAACCCCCTGTACAGTTTCTTATAGATTTTCACACCCCTCCTCCTGCTTTAATTCCTTTATTTCTGTACTGTGAGATAACTTTATTCTTCAAAGGGGATACATGTGCTACAGCATTTTTTTCTCTCTGTTACTGCAATGTTTTCTGACCTCGTGGCTGTTGCCTGTACATACTTACACTGAAAGTTGTTTACTACTTACTTGAATTTGCACTTTTTTATGACCAAGAAATGATTTCAGGGAGCTTTCTGGGAAGTGAAGAACTCATAACTTTCGTATCTGGTCATCTTCTGTTCTGAATAAAGACTGGGAACCTACCCTTCTTGTCACACCAATCAGGCTGTCTCAGTTCATCTTTTGTCCTTCGTTGTCTCGGTTTTGGAAGACAGGTGTCTGCTAGGGAGGGCGGGAGCCACCCTTAGAATGAAAATGTAGACCCCCTCCCTCAGAATTATTATAATTTTGAAATCAAGGGGCTCTCATGCAGAGATCTGGGGATAGGAATAGCAGTTCTTTACTAGTATGTATAACAAGGCAAACAAAAAACAATAACTACAGCGTTAACAAGAAAACAGAACCAGGGACCCTGTGACAGCCTTCTCGGCTGAGACGGGAAGGGATGGAGGAGGGGCTTTGTTTCACAAACCCCCTCGGGCAGTCAGTCCCCGTGCTTCTGCAGGGCTCTGAGGAACAGTCGGCTGGAACTGGGATGAGCTGAGATCCCGGGCCGGTGGCTGAGGTGTATCAGCAGAGGAATGAGCAGAGATCCCGGGCCGGTGGCTGAGGTGTATCAGCAGGGATGAGCAGAGATCCCGGGGCGGTGGCTGAGGTGTATCAGCAGGGATGAGCAGAGATCCCGGGCCGGTGGCTGAGGTGTATCAGCAGGGATGAGCAGAGATCCCGGGCCGGTGGCTGAGGTGTATCAGCAGGGATGAGCAGAGATCCCGGGCCGGTGGCTGAGGTGTATCAGCAGGGATGAGCAGAGATCCCGGGGCGGTGGCTGAGGTGTATCGGCCGGGATGAGCAGAGATCCCGGGCCGGTGGCTGAGGTGGATCAGCAGGGATGAGCAGAGATCCCGGGCCGGTGGCTGAGGTGTATCAGCAGGGATGAGCAGAGATCCCGGGGCGGTGGCTGAGGTGGATCAGCAGCTCCGCGGCGGTGCCTGGCACTGCAGCACGGCCCGGCAGGACAGGGGGTGTGAGGCCACCAAAGAAGAGGGGAGAAGGAGAAGCAGCGGCTCTGTCTGGGTGATGGCGAAATTCCCTTCTCCCCACAGCAACAGCTCCAGCAGAGCGTCATTCTTCAAAGCTGAAGAAGCTGCCGAACAGTCCCCTCCCTCCTTTTTTCCTGCCCCCTTCCCCCCTGGCCCAGCCGAACTCTTTGTGTTTCTCAAGTACCCAGCAGGTACCCGCAGTCAGGTCCCCCCTCCCCCTGGAACTAATAGGTAAAAATTCCACAGGTGAGCCAGAACTGAAAGAAGGACACCTGACCCCCAAATTTGTCCATACAGGCAGGGTGGAAAAGATACACAAAGGAAACTGTAAAAAAAATCCTGAAAAAATCACAAAAAAACCTAGTGTGTGAGTGTGTGCTATCTAATTTTTCCTGCTTTGATACTTTTTTTTCCTTCTACTTTCTGCTCCTCTCTCATAATTTTGCTGCTCTGAGACTGAGAAGCTGCTGCTGTAGCAAAGAGTAAATGGCTTGTACATGGCAGCATTTGCTCCATTTCAGGCTGGCAGCCAGCTAAAAGCAGTGCAGGGTTATAGAATGGACTTCAAAACAGCCTTTCTGATGAAGCTGCAGCTCTTAGTCTGGGCTGCTAACAGTTCCAACACTGAAATTCTGAGTGGTTGCGGCATTGATCCTCTGCAAACCCTATTTCTCTTTTGTCCAGCAGTGATCTCAGCGTGAACAAAGGTTGCTGGCAATCCCTTAGTGAAGGCTGTGCAAACTCTGTTATTTTCTTGACCAGTAAGCCTCCCAAAACTTGCATGCTGGCTGACACTGGAAACTGGTGGAGAAATTCTCTTTATTATTGTCAGCCATCATAAGAGGAGCCTTTACTTATTGCAATGCTACTGAAGTGCCAATATATATGAAAAACAAACTTAATACCAAATAGGGGCTGTATGTGGTCTTGCTGCTTGAATAGAATCCATTCACTTCTATTAATTGACTTCACAAAATCTGTCTTCTCTTTCAAACAGAAAGAAAGTAATGTGGATGGACTGTGGGAATCACAAAATGAAAGAAACATTTCCTTTTGACTTGCTATCTCATGTCTTCACACCCTGCAGTGATCTGACAGGCTGATATTTGTTCAAGTGAAGTGGAAGTTTTAATCTGAATAACTGCAGCCAGTTTGTCTTTGGTACTACTACCTCCCAATTTTATTTAATCCAAACCAATATATATTTTCAGAAAGGAGGATTGATACTGAAAGCAACTGTGCTTTTTTGAAACTAGCAGTTTGTCAGTGGCTTCTGGGAGCCATAGCTGAGCCTGTGGCAGCTGAGGGAAATCCTGTACTTCAGGACAAGATTTCTACACTGAACTGGACTAAAGGGGTTTGTGTGGGGACTTGAGGGATGTGATCCAGGAGAGCTTAAACCCCCTCACCCTGATGGTGTATCCTGGTGCTCTCAGAACAGTTCCCAGCTCAGGTCTGCCTGCGTGTGGACCTCATTGCTCACTGGATATATTTCCTGAGAACATAGTTCCCAACAGAGTCATTTCAACATTTGAACAGAACCAAAGGTTCTAAGGGCTGGTTTCAGGTGCTTTCAAAGTCAGCAGTAAAGCTTCCTTTCACTTCTGTGGGAACAGAGTTGCTCTTGGAGTAGTCTGAATAACAACTGGTAACTTCAGAAAAGGTATAGTGCTTTAGGAAAAAATAAATAATCTGAGAAACAAAAAACATGATTTTCACTAGAAATCAGATGCTGTAGAACTCAAATTGGAATCTGTCCTGTAAGAAATGTAATTTGATTAATATGTGTGCAGATTAATGGAGCAAACACAGGCATTAGCTGCTAGATAATAGAAGCTCTACTGGGGAACATGCAGCCATAATGGCACACTGGATACATGCACTGGACATTCAGAGGAAGCACTTTTCAGAGGTTAAAGGAAAGCTAAAGGGATCTGAACCAGACAAGAGGTATTGTCAAGACTAGCCCAGAGTGTCCCTCCAGCACTCCACTCTCCCTCTCTGTGATCTAGGAGACCCAAAAATGAAACTGAAAGGCCCCTGTTCAGCTGCAGCTGCAGTGTGGGGGTACAGACCCAGCAGATACAGGAGATAAGTGGTGATGCTGTCCTGCCAGCCTGTGGCTCCACAGCACACACAGCAGATTTTGGGAGGCAGGTGGTAATGCATACCATTGTATCTGGTGCTAGCATCAAGATGGGAGACCTTGGTTTGTCCTTCATGTTCAAAGCACTATTTCTTCATTCTGATTGTGCAACAGATGCTAAACAGAAAGGCACAAACCACAGAAACATCTGAATCTGCAAGGCTGGGGGGCAGTCCCAGAGGTGGAGGTTTTGCCTGCACCTTGAGTTGCCGTGTGGCAGAGTGTCTTGTCAGGAGTAAGGTCTGTCCTCCCCAACAGCCAGCACTGAAGCGTGCTCCAAGAATGTTGGTAGAGCCCTGGGGGAAAGAGGGAAAAGGCTCCCTTATAACTCTTCCAGAACTCTGCCCCCACTTCCTGCTTCTGCATGAACCATCAGAGTACCTCGGTGACACCATGCAGCTACCCCAAAAGAGTGCAAGGTATGGGGAAAAAGAGGTGTGGGACAGCCTTTTCTTCTGGGGTGCTCCTCTGGCAAAGGTGGCATTTCTGCAGCTTCCTTCACTGCATTTTCATTCTGGCCTCCCTGTGCTCTTTGTGGCTTTGTGTTTCTGTCTGGAAGAGGAAATTTTTGGCTTGATGTGATACAGAAATGTTTCTTGGTTTACACTCTCTCCTGCAGAACAAAATTCTGATTCAAGCACCTGAGTTTAATGCAAACCCCACTCTCTGCCATATATCCTTGCAACTAGACCACAAGAGATTTTCAGTGATCTGATTAATTCTGCTGCTCTTGTAACACAAAGCTATCTTGGCAGAGGCAGATGGCAGCAGCAGAAGTTTTGCAGATGAAACCACCTGTGCACATTGCTGTATAAAAGCCAACTCACCATTGTGTAATTCCTTGCACACAGTGCTGCCTCAAACCTCTGCAGCCATGTGGGCAGAGCACAGCTTTGCCATCCCAGAGTTGTCACTGGCAGAAGGAGCAAGATTTTGCAGATTTTTGGCTCACAGCTCCTATCCTCCACAGTGGGAGCAGCAGCAGCACAGTAAAACAGGTAATGCCAAGATCAACCTGGCAACCAGCCAGCAGCTGCCTACTATCTATGTCACTGTGATTATAGCTTTCCCTGTTTCTTTAGCTTTCCTCTCTTGTAGGCTGAGCAGAAAACAGGATTCCCAGTAACCTGTGATTAACAACAAGTCCTTGGGTGGCTGAAAACTGCCTTTCTATTTGCAGCAGCCCCTGGCCATTATGCTGTGCCTTGGCTGAGTCTGAAACCCCTTTTGTGGTTTCAAAGCAAGCCTGGTTTTGGCTCTAGCACCTCTTCCATGCTCATGCCTGGAGGTTTGCAGCCACCCCAAGTACAGCAGCCCCACCTCCACAAAAAAACCTGGACCCAGTTTTCCCTCCAGCTCACAGAACTGCTGCTGATCCCAACAGGAGCAGCAGCTGGAGACCGGGATCCAGCCTTTGTTGAGTATCTTGGAAAGAAAGGAAGCACAAGGTTTTGTGGAAGTTGAATCAAGTCTGGTTTTCTGTGGAAAAACAAAGATTGTGGTAAAATGTGAGAAGTGTTTATTTTCCTGAGATAAACCTGTTCCTTTTTTTCACTGAAAACATGGTATTTTTTCCAAAATCTGCAGTATTTTTTTTTTTTTAACTTTCAAAAGGTAGAGTGGTTTTTTTCATCTTATGTACATTTTCTGGAAAAACAATTGTCAGACTGTATTAGAGAAGCTCCAATTTTGTGGCTTTCTTCCTTCCACAGATTTATTCCTTTTGACATTTTCATCAATGTATTTCTGCTTTGTGTCTCATTTTTTTCTATTGTTTGACAAACCTTTAGGGCTTTTTACATTCATTCGGTGATGGTCCTGATGTTGGACTAATCTAATTTTGCTGTGACATATAAGTTATGCTGCCAATATCTAACAATAACCGGAAAAAATATTTCTTTTATAGATGTATATGTGCGTGTGTGTGTGTTTGTGTGTGTTATTCAGCTAAATTCTGTGTTGGAGCTTGCCGCAACAATACATCCTAATACAAGGTTAGGAGAATCTAATGTAAAAATCAGACTTCCCTGGAAGATGCAAAAGAAGTATCTGCAAAATAAAGAGTCTGTTGAGCCACAGTATATAGCCATCACCCTTGTAAACACTGTTTTTCTCATTCTTAGATTATGAAAGATGAATTTCTGAATTACTGCTATGGAGTTAGTGCTTCTGTGGACACTACTGCCAAAATCATTTTAAGGATGAAGAAATCCTGGAAACTCTGCCTTTTGCTTTTATTTTCCCAAACTTCTTTTGGACCATAGACTACAAATAACTGAAATACTGCTTAGTTTGTTGTGGGCTTGATTTTTACCCCAGGTCCCATCTGAACAACGCTTTTGGAGCTGTACGATGTGATGGCACCAGCAAGTGTCCAAGTGCTGGGCTCCGACATGTGGCTTCGTGTTTCAGCAGGTGGCGCTTAGAAGCCAAGGAAAAGCCATCCTGACTGAAACCTGGAGCTGCCGCGTGAGCAAGGGAGGATACAGTCGGTATAATTTAGCAAATCCATTTTCTGGCATTATCCGTTGTTTTCTTGTGTGTCTGTGCATTAGATTTGTTTTGCCAATGCTCTGTGACACACAGGAGTGCTAATTTGGGTGGCTTCATGATCACAGTAATAAGGAGGTGTTTGACTGTACAATAATTCTTCGCAGAGGTGGTAAGTCTTCTTTACATTGCATTTTATCTGTTTTTAAATGATAGTTTCAGAAATCCCACAACCACAGAGATAACTAGCTTGATTTGAAAGTGTATTGACTAAAATCCAACTGCTCTCGCCCCAGGCTGCAGCACTGCTGTATTGCTGTCCAAATAGGCCTTCAAATCAATAAACACTACTGCCAAGAAGCTGAGAAGGGGCTGTATTCCTGCCCTGCAAAAATACCCTGCCAGCATCACCATGTCCCCTGCTGCCAGAAGAGATGGTTCCATAGTCAGCTTCTGCCTGCCAAAATTTGCCTTGGATTCAGTCACATGTCCCTGCAGCAGTGCTTGTCAGGCCACCCTTTCAACATTCATTTCATAGCCCAGACTTTGCTGCACATCACAGGCATTTGGCCATCCCTCCACCCTGACAGAAGCAGTCCTCCTGCCTCCCCACACTTAGCTGGTCATCTGCTGCCCTACTGACACACACAACATTTGCTTTTTCAGCCTGTCTAAGGAATGTGCACAAGGGGAGGAACAAGCTGGTAAAGGTGGTAAACAAGCTAACACTTTAAGGCAGGAATGACTAATTCCTTGAGATGTAATTAGCATTTTTCAGCATCATTAGAATTAGACCGTGACTCATTGTTATAACTGACAATAGTCTAAGTTTATTTGTGAGCTAAGAGGCATTTGCATCATGCAGGAGAGGAGTGCTCATAGTGCTAGGAGACTTTTGCACGAGCTGCACACAGACAAGGGGAGAAGCAAAGATGGGAGGGCATCTGTGCGGCACCACGACTGCAGGAAAGGGGCTGGAGCCCAGTGGGCACATGGCAAAAAGGAGCAGGCAGCTCCAGGCACTGTGTCATAAAGCAGCGGCAGAGAAACCAGTGTCAGGAAACTGGTCTGGGTATGCAGCTGAGTAAGGGTACTGGAGGCAGCAGGGGGAGAAGGAAAGTTGTGCTGAACTAAAGGAAGTGCATGGAGTGTGTGAAAGCTGACCAAAACTCCTATGTGATTATTGAGGTAGATGGGAATTTGTGGACATCTCTGAAGCAATTGTCATGCAGAATAAGGAAACTATTTGACAGATTGCCCAGACATCGCCTTGGCTGTATCCTCATGTATGGACTATATATAACTTGGTCATAGACAGGAAATGCTTGTGGTGTTTCCGGCTTTGGTGCATATTTGGCTTTATTTTTTCTCCTGAAACAAAGCTGAAAGTGGTTATAGCTGCATACATCCAACAAACACATTACAGAAATACAAAATTACAAAAATTGAAGGAAGCATAACACATACTGCAGAAGATTTTCCTGACGTGCTTTTGCTTCTTCCTCTATCCCCATTTTGTTTGTCACTGTGGCACTGGAAGAAGGTATCATTCCAGTATAGTCTGCCTGTCTCTACAGTCACACTGTGCAAGTTCTCACAGTCTAAGCATTATCAGCAGCTCTTTTTTGAAAGGGAATACAAGCACTATAAAGCAAATGAATGCCCAGGGCTTTGGTCTTTTTCTTCTGCATCAATTAATGCTTCATTTGGCAGTAAACAGCAATAAAAAACATTCTGTAAAATGTCATTGGAATGCCTTGAGCCAAATCCGAGGCCCCTTTGCACACAGTAGCTGTTAGGTTCTCCCAAGTCGAAAGTTTCCCTGGCACTGGGTGGAGGTGGAGGAGGTGGAGTGCTGTCTTGGGAAGGCTGGTTTTGGCTTGATGTGGTCCAGAATTGCTGTTTGGTTTGTACTGTCTCTTGCAGTTGATTCAAGCAACTGACTATAACGCAAGCCCCACTCTCATATATGCTTGAAACAAGGCCACAAGAGATTTTCAGTGATCTGATTCATTCTGCTGCTCTCCTGGTGCAAAGATGCCTTGGCAGAGGCAGATGGAAGCAGCTGAGGTTTTGCAACATCTCTGTGACCATTAAATCTGAGCATCTCATCCTCTGAGGATAAGAGAGGACTCTTTTCACCCTTAGACTCTGGGGATGTGAATATAACTAGGCAAAGGAGAATTTCAAAGAGCTAGAGAAACTGACACTGCACAATGAGGTGAACCCCAAATCCAGAGTGCAAGAAAGCAGCTTGGATGTCCCATGGCCACACAGTTTTGCTGTCATGCAACCATGTGGCTGTAGCAGCTTTACCTCCAAGTGTGTGCTCCAGAATGTGCAGCATCTGAGGAGGACTGTGAAGTGGCTCAGCCATAATGTAAAAAAAAGTAATAAATGTAATACTACAAAGAAAAAAAGTCACAATGCAAAAAAACCAAAAAACTAACAAACAAAAAAAAAAACCAACAAACATCTCCTGCAAATTGTAAGTTATTTAAAAGAAACAAATTAGATCTTGTGATCACCGGCAGGATCCATGACATTCCATCCATTTCCCTATGTCAAATGTTGCATGGGAACACTGCCTGTCCAAATTCATAGTATTTGTGTGCAGTCACAGCCATTTGGAATAATGCTAGTAAACAAACATGGTCAGCCCAGCCTCTGGAATGGAAAGCACTCTGGAATGCTACACTAATAATTGCATAAGAGCTGCAGAAAAGGACAGCATCATGCAATTTACAGACCTAATTCAGCTTCTACAAAGAGAAAGGACTTTGCTTTGCATAGTTGGTACATGAAATTTTGAAGTCCTCAAAAGTATTAGCAGAAGTACCTGTGGATCCCATAGTTGGCCTAAGAGCAGATCTTTGCCAATAGCAAAAAGTAGTGGCACTTAGGGTTTTCTTTGTATTAATTTGTGTCTCAAAAAAAACCCCAATCCCCACCAAACAAAAAACCCTAACAAAAACCTACATCCATCTCAGGATACAACTCCTGATTACAGGTGGGCCCATGTAACATTTTTACTGGGCACTCTGCCTACTCTTCTTGTGGTGCTCAAGTTCCTGAATCCCCAGGCACCTAGTACTTGATAGCAACTATAATTTACTGTCTTTTTGTCTTTTTACCGTCTTTTGACTAACTGGGGAGGAATTAGTCTTGACCCACCAGTGTTTAAAAAAGATTGGGTTCTATTTAAAAGGAATTCATTGCCATATTTCTTGCTAAGGCATTAATAAGAGCTTAATCCTGTAACCAAGAGGGTAACAAAAGAGTTCATTAATTTCTATGAGATATGTTGTGATCCTCAGCTGGGACTACATTGTTACTGCTCTGGATTAATCAGATTTGAAGATCAAAATCAGGTTTAATTAAATTTAGTTTCTACTGCAGTGAAGACTGCTAGCAGCATACTGAATGCTGAGATAGGATACTTCTCACTGGAATGTGGGAGAACCCACTTCCCTGTGGGTATAGCATTGCACCATGAGCAGAAGGCATGAGGGATGTGGGAATTCCCAGGATACAGGAAAACAAAACCAGAAAGCTTCAGTACCCTTCTTGTGTTAGAGAAAATACAATGCATGCTGTAATTCTTATGAGATTTACTGAATTTTGTAGAAGCTGGACATTGTGACATAGGCTTCCTCATTGTTTGTTGATCTCATGTCACTGTTTGGCAGCATCTGGGATACGGTGTCATCATTTACAGGCTCTGCATGGGGTTGGCCAGAAGGATCCAGGGAACAAGTGGAGGAAAGGTCGAAACCATCGTTGTGCAGAGGCACCCTGTTGCCGTGGCAAACCTCATATATGCTGGAGCTGCAGCTGCCCTCTGTGACTGCAAACTGGCTGGTGCCCAGGAGCCTGTGCAGGGCTTCAGCTGGCCAGACTCCTTTGTCAGACACCGGCAGGTTGAGGTTGTTTTTGTCTGCCATCACAGGGATCATCTTCAGGTCTGATCCACTCCTGAATTTTTCTGGAAGGCTTGTCTTTGGAGCAGTTGATGGCTGCAGAAAATTTTCCAGTTCAGCTTTTGCCCAAAGGCCGTCCACTTTATGGATATGAACATAACCAAAACTCTCTGGGTTAAAGCTTATATCAAAATTCTGTGTGGCAAAGGGAACAGCACAGTTAGTCAACAGGGGGTGGTAGCTTAAGAGAAAAGATACTTTAATAATTTATGTGATTTTAGAAGGGTATTTATTATTTCTTTAACTCTAGATGTAACCCAAGATGAACAGGTTGAACAATAGGTTAGTGCAGAATAAATTATCACATGGTTGGAAATCCCATTCCCTGTTAACTTCCTCTATCCTACATCCTCCTCTGGGTAGTACCCTGGAGTGTTTTATGCTCTATACAGTGTTTCAGAGCCTTTTCTGAGACACGCATTTATTGCATGCCTGCCATTTCACAGGAAGGAGTGTGCCCACCCAGGTGGTTTCTTTTAGTTTTACCTTCCTAATTTAGCACCAAGGGAAGTAAAAATTTGCCACGACTTCCTGAAACACATTAGGAATCCCTGAACTGGGGAGCACGGAGGCTGGGAGAGCTGTGCTAGGCATCCTATGAAATTAATAACATGCTAATAATGTATCTGTAGTGTACAGCATTAATGACTTACTTGACCATCTGGCTTTTAACTGGCAAAGCAGTTCATATACTGCATGATGTATGAACAATGCTGTTGGCCATGTCAGGGTACCAGGGATGTTTGCAAAACATCCCCTCCAGCCCCCTGATTAGTTTGGTAGAACCACCAAAGTGTCTTGGTTGGAAAGGAGCTGTGCAGTCCAACCTTCTGCCAGAAGCAGGACCTGCACTAGTCAGAGCCCTAGTCAAGCTAAGCCTTAAACATATTCCCAAAGGAGAACCTACCTTGTCTTTGGGGAGGCTACACAGTGTTTAATTATTTTCACAAGAAAGATTCTTTCCTTGTAACTGGAAGAAGTTTCCCCTGAAGCAACACATGTTTGTTGTCTCTGGTCCTGTCACTCCATAGCCTTGCGGTGAGAGCACTTTCCCCATCTCTCTAGATACACCTTAGGTATTGGAAGGTTGTAAGGAAGCTTGGGGTGTGGAATACTACTTTTCTTCTATAAACAAACTTAATTCCTTCAGCCTTTCTTCATACATTAACTTCCCAAGACCTCTGTAGTTAGCTTTGCACAAGTCAAACCTCAGGAGCTAAGTCAATTTTGTATTATTTCCATACCCTTGACTGACATCTGCAGGAGCAAATGTGAGCTCTCTTAAGTGAAATGTAGAAGTAATTTCTGAAAGAGTGTCCTAGTTCATGCAGAAAATGCACATCCTGTCTCTCATGGGTGTTAGTTTTACCCCCAAGCATCTATACTTAGGTGGAAATAGAAGTGGAAGAACATACGTTTTTTGGCTTCTTGCATAGTTGCTCCAGCGTTTTTTTATGGTCAGGAAGGTTTGGCCATACAGCAGGTTTGATCCTGAAACAGTAACAGTAGGCAAAAAGCAGCATAAGACGGCTGTGTTGAGGTATCAGAGGTTCATATTGCATCATTTGTACTAGTTCTCACAAAGCCTTAGGGCTGGCTGGTGTTATCCAGAACAAAGACAGAGAAACCTCAGAATAAACCAGACAAGAGAAGAGGAATTGTAAAGGTTGTTGTTTAAAAAGTCATTGTTCTTTGGGATGCACAAATTGTCACAGTTAAAAGAAGATACTTCACTAAGTACTGGGAATGCACCAAATTATGCTGGCAAAGTGCTTGTTACTTGTTTTCATCTAGCTGTATTAACAGGGTTCTGTGTGGTGAAAATATTTCCTGCAAGTGCAAGAAGATGCTGTGGTTAAAATGGAAATTTGCTGATAGTTGCTTCTGCATGTTCAATTGAACATGCTTCTGCATGTTCAATTAATTAAATTCTGCATGTTAATTAATTAATTAATTAATTCATTCATTCATTCATTAAAAGAATAACATACTGTCCCATTCCTTGGCCAGCAATTTGAGCTTCAGACATCTGTCCTATAGCTTTGTTCCACAGGTCTCATTTTTACTGCCTTGATTAGCAAGGTTCCCATGTTGTGCTGCTTGATACTCTCAGCTATGATGCATCTACAGTATGTCATCCAACTGATATTCAATCATTGCAGTGATAACACTGCATATACATGTATATGAATATATATTTAATTTTATTTATGTGTCTGTGTGGCTGTATATATGTGCACATATAAAACCCTCTTATTTTTAAAATGGAAATACCTGGGATCAAAAAGTCTCACCTGTTTTTGCTGCAGTCTTATGTGAGCAAAACCTGTAGCAAAGTTAAAGAACTGCAGGTTCCCAGCAACAATAAAACTCAAGAATGAGAAATCTCAAGCAACCTCTATACTTGTGAACAAAGTAGCACTAGTGCAGATAACTCCAGTGTCTAAAATGTTTAATTATTAAAACATTTTGTGGCATGGTATGGCTGAGTTCTTGCCAGTTCTTGCTTAATTCTTGCCAACTAACATTGGCCAGGTAATCCCCATGTTCAACACTGCCAGGTAATCCCCATCTGCTACAGCCCAAGAGTTGTCAAAAAAAGCAGCTCACACAGAGTTACCTCTCTTGAGCTGGGTATCGTGGACAGACTGCTCTGAATGTTATTGAGGAGTCCTGGGCTTTCTGTCTTGCAAGGAGTTCATCTTCTACAGTTAAACTGGGATTTTGTCCCTCCAGATCATTATATACTTATCTGTTCATTTTCTTAAGCTTGTCAGCTCTCCTGAGCCATGTCATTAAAAACATATTTACAGTTTTCTATCTACTGCTGTGCAGGAGATACATGAAAAACCCTAATGCATACCAAAGACTGCTTGAGTAATGAATGTATTTCTAGTCCCACTTCTGCCTGATCTAGCCTCATGGCTGGCTGGAAGACGATTTGGCCAGGCTGGTGTCTGACACCCTGTTGCAGAGGGCTCTGCCCTGCTGCTTCTGAAAGTGCTGCAGAGCAAGCACCCTGCTGACTCAACCTGTGAAAGGAACAAAGGTCATCACCCTGGCATGCTGCTTCCACACTTCTTAGGAGTTTACTAAAACCCACAGGTCTCTTTATTTTCTGGATTTTGCTTGAAGTTTGTGAGTCAGATTTGCCTCCAGTGGGACACTGAGTCTGTTTGGTGGTGACTACAGCTTGCCAAAGGTCCCAGTTTTTGAGCTCAAGACTGAAATCTGGTCCAATCTGGCAGGTCATCTTCTGCCTGCCAACACTGTTTCTTATATTGCTCATTTCTATTCTTTGCTTGCCATCAGCTTGATACAGAGTTCCAGAGATAGAGAGAGAGTACTTCACATACAGGGAAAGCAGTAAGACCGTCAGAGCAGGATTGGGTCCCAACACCTTTTTTGATACAAAGAGATTACCTGTTTTCCCAAAAAACTATGAACAGTGCAATCACAGCAACAGACAGCATGAATCCCAGGATGGAGAGTATAACCATGGCCACACTGTTATCTAAAGGAAAACAAAGAACATCAGCCAATGCATGTAAATGTCTCACTGTTAAGCCACCATAACAGTGAGGTCTTTTCAGATGATAAACTAGGAATTAACACCAAGCATTGCACTTGCCCCATCACTGGGCTTGTGCAATGGCTCATTTCTCCTGCCTCCATGAAGGAGGTAAATGATAGGCTGCCAGAGCATCAGCACTTGGCTGAGCTTCAAGCTGGGTTCACAGACTGGATTAAAGCAGCTTGAAGTGTGCTGTCACTTCCCATGCATTGAAACCAGCACTTGCTGTGTCCTCACAGCAGCACAGAGATGACTAAGCCTAATGCCAGAGTGCCCCTGGGGACTGAAGGGACCCAAGGACCAGAAAGATTATTCATGTGCAGTGATGAGATTTTATCCGGTGTTGCATTTGTGATTCAAGTGCCATGTTCACACCCAAGCCCAGGGTACTGAAATGGGTCCTGTTTCACACTCTTTTTTCCTTACCCAAAATGCCTGGTGCCAGCTCTTCCTTCTCCTGGCAAGCCAGCCAGTAGCAAGCAGCAAGTCAGCCTTCATCTCCCTCTGCACCCACACCCTCAGGCTCTCATGGCAGCATTTCTTCTGACCTTATTTCCCTTAAGTGAAATTTAAATCTTCAGTCAGCCCCAGACCAAAGCAACCCAGCTGCTCTGAGTCACCTTGGATTGCAGTGCCTGTGTCATTGAGGGCTGACCTTGGTGTGGCCATGGGCTCTTCCCTCCCCATTCTCTCATCCCTGCTGCTGCTGAGGCTGGCCAGCAAGCCCAGGCCCCCAGCTCTGCTTTCTTCCAGGAGAAACAAAGTGTTTTCAGCCCTTACAGCTTTCTGCAGAGTGCTGCTCTCTTGCTGTCCTGAAGCTCTTGGAAGTGCTCCATTCACTCCATGTGCCCTTAAAATAATCTCCATTGGGCTGAGAACGTACTTTCACCTCATACGATGCTCCATTTTCAAGGTTTTTCCCCAGCAATTTTACCTGAAGATATGGTGATTCTTTTGTCTAAAGACACACACACACATACACACACACACACACATAAAAGATACAGTTATTTTTCCAGCAGGCAGTGGAGAATTATCCTCGAGTTCGGCAAAATATGTGAGATCAGGTGCATCCCTGAAATACTATGCTGTTTACTCCATCTCTCTAGCTATTACACAGGTGCTTATGAGGGTATCAACCTAGTTAAACAGCAGCATAGTCCAGATAGCATTGAGAAGGGAGAGATACGCCAGATAAAAGCCTTTTGGAAAACAGCTACAAGTATTAACAGTGCTCTGCGGCAGCTGACACTGCAGTAGGAAATATACGCTTCCCTGAGAAGGCTCATAGGGGACACATGGAAAAAATATGTTTTTGGAGCATAAAAAGACAATATCTGAGAGGGCAGTTACAGGGGAGAAGCTGAAATTCTGCAGAGCAGCTCTGGTGCTCTCCATTTCAATGTATTTCACTACCTGAACCCATTTTATTTTTCCCTTAAGTTCTTTGATGTCTGATCTTTGTATATTTTCAAGCCTAATCAACAAGGAGGGAGATTTAATCTGTGAAGGAGAGCAGTTAATAAGCAAGCTCTAAGCAATGTCCAGGTGTTCAAAAAACAAATTACTTGGGGGTAGAATTGCCTTGTTAAGGTTTGGGTCTTGACACGCTTCAATGATGTGAAACCTGGGGGGAGGTTAACAAAGCTTAGGAATAAGGATGTAACGATGGTAATGGGCACAAAGAGTACAGAATTTTTGGGCTATAACAGAGGACATTTGGCAGAACCCCTAAGATAAGGAAGAAACTAATAAAGACAACTCAGTGACTGTGCTGAATCAGCTCTGAACTGGGTAGAAGGGAATTCTGGCAGGAGCAGATCATGACTGCTGACTCATGGCCCACTGGGTCACGAAAACCACCAACATAGAAAACTGAGCCTGTGGGCTAATTAGCATGAGACGTGAGAAATCATTAACTGATAGAAGATGGAACACTGATTAGTAAGAGAACTATGTAACTTGTGGCCAAGGAACACTTACTAGTTTGTGTGGTAAAATGTACAAATAGATTTTGGAAGTTGGTGTGCTTGATTTGTGGAATACCACTGAGCACCCAGGCCTGTGTAGCTGGAACAATCAATGTCTCTCTCGAGTGTGTAATTATGGGCTTATTGCACTCCAGGTAACAAATCTGATTTTTGTGGACAACACTGTATTCCCTCTGTAAAACCCAGGTGTAGTCCATGCTTTCAAACATCGTGACTAGCTTTTGCATGGCTGCCCTGGTGACAGGGGACACAGAGACCCCTGCAGCTCTCCCCAGTCAGACCCAGTTCACAAGCAGCTGCAGCCTCACACAGCCTGAGGGTGGGAGAGCTGCAGGGCTGCATTGGAAGCCTGTGAGGATTCAATGGAAAAGGAAATGTGAAGAAACTTGCAAAATAAATAAAGAGGTCACACATTTTATTGACTGATGAGCGCAGAAAATAACAGCAAAATCACCACAGCAAAGAGCAAACATAGAACGGTTCGACACGTTATGTCTTCTATTCCCACTGCAAAACCCAAATGAATAAAACCTCTTTTAACTGATGAAATTTCCAAATTCCCAATATTGCACATTTCCAAGTTTTCAGGTGGAGAGCTGCAGAAATGCAGATTTGATAATATTTACATGGCACAGGTAATTTTGATAATGTTTAATTTTGGAAATTAGTGCAAGCACACCCTACATCACCACTTACCTCCCAAGTACCTTCTTTCTGCCGGTAGGCTACCTGGTGTACTAATTTGTCCTTTAAGTATTTCTTCCTTGAGTGTGGTGTACAATAACGAATAAGATATTCATTTGCCTCCTTTTCATATGTGATGTTTACGGCGAAAGGTACTTCGGGCTTAACTGCAAATGACAACAAACCAGGATATAACAGGAGCAGAATAATGTTACTAGAAAATAAACAGGGTTTGAAATGCAAAAAAAGGTCCAAGCTACAGCCCTGCATGGTGACCTATCTTGAGGCAAAGCTGTCTTGAGTTAGGCAATCCTTATGCTGAGCCCCATCTCATCCTTACATCCTGATGCTGAGAGGGGCTTGGTTTTGACTTGCTGGAGAAGTAGTTTGACCAGCAGAGGAGATGTTTGTGAGGGATATGACATTTAATCTTGAAAGCAGTTCCTGAGCATGCCCACCCCTGTGGTAGCTTGAAGGCCTGAAATTCAGACCCTCTAGCCAGTGCTCTGAGATGGAGGCCCCCTAGCAAAACCCACCTGGGAGGAGACACTGGGGAACAACCTGTGCTCAGGTACAGCAGTGGCTGTCTGTCATGGCAGTGGGACAGATGGAGGGACAAAGTCTGACACTGTTTGATAGATCAGAGTGGGCTGTGGCTCCACACCCTTGCTATGAACCCACATCTGACCTGGTCTGAAGGAGACTGCCAAAGACCATCCATGTAAGTATATCAAGCCTGAAATATGGCCCTCAGGGCTCTCTCCCCAAGCTGACCCTGAGCTGGATGTGCTAGAGACCTGCAGGGACTTGTGGCTGTGGCACTGAGGCTTCCTGAATTCATCTTGCATAAGGACATCAGCTCTCACAGCAACACAGAGCCCACACCTCTCTCCTCTCAGGAAAACACATATAGCCATAAACAGTTCTCACTCCTTCTAAAACCCCCAGATACTTAGATCTTCTACAGTTTTTAGAGTAAGGACTGCCAGGCTGGCCCGTAAACTAAGAGCTAATGTAAGATTATTACAAAACTGTTGGACTGTGGCAGAAATGTTTCACAAGAGAGAGATGTTGCAGTGCTTACTGCCAGAGACAAAGCAATGTGACACTGGAGAAGAAGCGAGAAGAATCTGTCCTACACAGGCTTCTCTGCTGCCCTTGTTGCCAAGAACAGTAAATTCTGTGTATCCCTTCCTCCCCTTGAGTTCCCTGTTTCTTGGCTCAGGCAGGTCCCTGGTGTGTCTTAGCCTGCTAACAGTTACTGGTGCAGGATGCACTTTGTTCAGAGTACAGGATACACCACTATGTCAAGCGAGATCTTGCAGCCTTGTGTTCCCTGTGCTACTGGGCTCATGCTATCTGTGGGGTGGCCAGCCCCTAAACTGCATCATCCCTAGTCAGAGATGAACAAAATGTTCCTGCTTGGCAGTCCATCCACACTCAGGAACAGCTGCTTCAGCCATGGATGGGATTCAGACTATGTCTGGGTCTGGGCAATGTCACAATCAGCCTGAATTCATCTACGGTTTTGGAATGGAGGTTAATCATGTCTGGCTTTGAAGCAAAGGAAACACCACACTCTTATAACACCCCAATCCAGGCTACATGCTCTGCTGAGATGATATTTTATGCTTTTATATCATCCAGATTGACCCTTAGGCTTTGTGCTGGACTGGTTTTCTCCCCAGTAACCCCTATAACTTTAAAAATGTCCAAAATATCAAGTGTCTCACCAATGTCAGTTACAACCAGACTCCTGCAGACCCTTCTCTTCATCTCAGAATACATGCAAATATCTCTGTTTGAGAGTATATCAATGAACTGTAAGAAGTATACATCTTCTTGTTTCTTCATGTTGGAGCAGGCGTAGTTGTTATCTTCTTTGGTACTGTTGGCCAAAGCGACACGACAATCATTTCTTCTGTGTTAACATGACTTGACTACTTACTATAGGGCATGAATCCTGCTTGCTCATTTCACTCATCTCACTGAAGTGAGTCTCCATGTGAAATAAGAAATAATGCAATGCAAATAAGGAGTTTGAGAGATTGATAGTGTTTTTTCTTGTGGTCCTTGAGCACAATAGTAGAGTGACATGAATCACATTAAGTGTCATGGAGCTCTTGAGAGAAAAGCACAATTATTTAATTGGAGGTGTATGTGTTAAAACATTTGCATTTTAAAAAATTACCTTGCCACTGCTGCTTTTAAATATAGGGCAATGTGTTTTAATGCTCTTTGAAGATAAAGAGAAATTTATTATTGACTTTGGTGGAAGCAAATAGAGGGTCAACAGTCAGCTGGCCATGAAGGAATCACATGGTGGTTTTAGAACTTTTTTTCCATTTCTGTGGTTCCCATGTTTGAGAACTGCCATAAAACTCCAGTCAAAACTCATAATAAGTCCCATGAAAATAGAAAAATTCTAATAAACTATGAGAAAGAAAAGCAAATAATTAGTGACTAGTATATAAAGATTTACAAAAAATATCCACTTCTTTTTTTGGCTGCCACACAACTTTCAGTTTCAGGAAAAACAGAAAAAAGGAAAAGGATCTGTATGCTCAAGAAACAAAATTTAATCTTCAGCTTGGTGCAACAGTGAAAAAAAAGGGTGGAAAGAGTTTCAAGGCCTTGATATGACGTGAAGATCTCTGATGTGTTTGATAACTGATGGAGGTTTGTGTGCTTGTTCTAGTGTATTTCTTGCATGGTTCTGTGTGCAAAGACAATAGCTGAGTTTTTGTCTTAACCTAGATGAACACATGTTCTTGGATGTGGACAATTAATCTTCTGCAAAAGAATTTTCTGTGGCAAGGGTTTGTGTCTTCAAAAATATTTTTAAAAATACCATTTAAATTAAAATAAAAAGCTCTCACTTCATGCTGGGCTACATCCATATTACAAACATTCCAGAGCAACAGAGGCAGCATCAGAACTACTGGAGACATTATGATCCCCTGTAGAGACCCTTCCAGCTCTTTCTTTTTTGCACTGGGGAATTATGTTTTGCTTCAGTAAACTCTTCTTCTTCGCTGAATATAGTACTCAAACTTGGCAAAACACTCTGAAGCAGGATTTTTTCTAGCTTTGCTGCCCCTGTTTCCCTGCATGTGGCAACGTGACTCAATAGTTCTCAGCATTTCACTTCCCAGGCATTTATCAAGGGACAGACTGACAACACTTACCACAGAGACAGGGTGTAGTTAGTGTTGTAAGGAGGCAGCTCAGTGAAATTGCAGGTCAGGCTGCTCAAGGAGTCCTTAATTTCCAGCTGGCTGAAGCAATCAATGTCAAAATTGTCTGGTTCATCATCCCCAAGAGTCCCTAAGGAGATATTCACAAGATGTTACTGAAGTCAACCCATGAGTGTATTTGATTTGCAGCTCCATTGCATAGGAGTGTCTGCCTGAAAGGAAGAGGATCAACCTACCTTTTATGTAAGAAGCAGAGAAACCTTGTCCAAAATGAAGTTAAAAGCCCATTTGCACCTTTCAAGGTAGCTCTCACTACATGCCAGTGAAGCCCACCCACTTGTAAGGATATTTCGGTGCCACGAGGCAGCTTAGACACGTTTTGATTGTACTGGAAAGCTTTCTGAAATGTCACGAATTTGGGCTCAGGAGGGAGATCTCAGACTTTCTGCTAGAATGCATGGCTTCCTGCAAATTTGCTTCAATGACTAATAACACAATCATGATTTGACTAAAATCATAATTCTAAAGTCCTACACTTGGCAGGCATGAGGCCAGTGATGTAAAAAATGACACTTATGAGAGAAGTCCTCTCTAGCAGAAAATGCCAGCCTCGTTGCATAAAATGTCACCCACTATAGCCAAGTGGATGGGGAAAGGGTTATTGTCATGACCCCTTGAATGGGTCCTAGGGGCAGGAGTGCCTATGACTCTTTTCACCTATGGTTAAAGGTATCTGTCACAATACATAAACCTCTTTCCTGAGTCAAGGAATTATGCTCGATCCCCCCGCTCAATCCTCTGTTACCCATTCCTCAGACAGGTCCTTGCCATGTAGGGCACCTGATGCAGTGAGAAAAAAAATCACAAAATCCAAGGTTTGGTTTAGAAGGGATCTTAAAGATCGTTTATTTTCATCCGCCATGGGCAAGAATGACACCCGCTAGACCAGTTTGCTCAGCGGCCCATCCAAACTAGCCTTGAATCCTTCCAGGGATGGGGCATCCACAACTTCTTGGGGCAGCTTGTTCCAGAGCTTCACTGCCCTCTAAGTGTAGAGTTTCTCCTTAATGTCTAATCTAAATCTCTCCTCTGACAGTTCAAAAACTGTTCCTTCTGGTCCTATTGCTATCTGCTGAGGGGTATCAGTGACTCAGACTCACAAATGGAGTGGGGAAATGCCTGTTGAAAAATTTCCAATGGAAAATCCCTCCCAGAAAAAATGATGGTCAACTCTTGCATCTGCAGTCAGATTTTGAGTAAGAGAAGAAGTCCAGAAGTCAATCAAAAATACAGAGAAACACACAAAAGCAGTTCAGGAAGAGGCTAGGAAGGGGACTGCTGCCACCAGCACATGTGATGGGACGGCGCCACCTGATGCTGCATTAATCCAGAACCCACAAGGAGATCTCTCCCCTCCCCCATGAGCTAATATTTAGTGGCCATCTGTCACCAGGAGTAACTGGTGCTAAGAAATTATTACTGGTCTTGTCAGCACAGCTCAGGGAGCCCAGATCTGCTGGAAGGACAACAAATGCAGTATCCTCTACCAGTGCTGCTGCTTTGAGGGGAGAACCTGTGCAGCACAGAGACACAGACACAGACACAGACACAGACATAGACACAGACACACACACAGACACAGACACAGACACACACACAGACACAGACACAGACACAGACACAGACATAGGCACAGACACACAGACACACAGACAGACACACAGACACACACACTCACAGACACAGACACACACACACACACAGACGCACAGACATACACAGGCACAGACAAAGACACAGAGAGATGCAGAAAAAGCAGATCCTGTACAAAGCTGCTGTATTTAACCATTACATTCAAGACAGAGACACAGAGATCAGCTCAACTCTGGAGCAAGTCCTGCAGCAGTTTCACACAGGTGACAGTCTTGTCCAGTGCAGCCCTGTGTCATATGCTCAGACATGCTTATACAAACATATGTACCACATGCAGTTGCCTATTTGTGGGGAAAAGTGTGTACATAAAAATATGTGTATTCAAAATCTGGGGGAATACCAAGTAAGCTGAAATGAATAGATTTAAAACGCAAAACAACCCACCATATTTTATACAGATATATACACCCAAACCTGACATGCACAGATATGTCATGTTCTAAGCCTCTCTTAAGATTTTACTTGCAACTGCAAGGAGACTTGCTTTATACTCAAGGCAATATTAAAACTTCAAGGTTAGAATGACTGATCTGCTTTTCTATATGACTACTTGGTTATCTCTGTACATGCAAACTATATATACCAGATTTTACCTCAGCTCAAAAACCTGACAATCATCCTATTAATAAAATGGCTTATAAAAAAAAATTCAACAATTCACTTCTGATTTGCTGAAAAGTAACAGAAATTTGAATTAATTCTCTACCAGTTTGGTTGCAAAATGAAAAGAAGAAAAGATTCAGTCTTGCAGCTCAAACAACCATTCAAGGTTTAACCAGTGCAGTGCAGCTTTGGTGCCACACTGGAAGGAAAGCTGACTTTACCACTTAGACACTGAATTTTTATATTGTGATTATATGGTTCCTTTTTCATGGAGACAACATAATAACAATAGAATACATTATAATTAAACCTCAGGAACAGTGTTAAGTAAGAAACTTGAAATGCTATTTCTGCTATGGTTTTTCCATGGGCTGACTAATTTTTTTGTCTGACATAAGTATGTACGTAGTCTCAGCCTCACTTCTGCCCTAAACCTCAGAACCACCACACACAAATGTGTTTGCTATGTGAATGGTTTTGATGAGTCTGACATGACTCATGCTGCTAAGGACTCTTCACTCAATAAAACATTTACAAGACTATTGTAATGTTTGCCTTGAGAAGCCCAGACCAGGCAGAGGCATGAACCTTACTCTGCTGAAATCAAGGCAGGGCTTGGTAAGGAGCAATTCTAAACTGGGATAAAAACTGCTCTCATGGCATGTAAAACAGTCATGGCATGTACTTCACAGAAGTGGTTCTCTCTTGGGTTTGGATAGCATCCAGCAGGATGGTTCAAACCACAGCAGGAATCTCAGGAGCCTTTAGGAAGAGAAGGATGTTAGCAGAGGGTAAGGACATGCTTCATATGCTCTAGAGCCACCAGGACCGACAGCAGGACTGACTAAGGACACAGCTAAGCACTGACTCTCCATGGACAGAGTAATGTGAGATCTCTAGCACTGATGTGATTCAGGCAGAACCTGTTTTAGTCACAACAGGTTAGATGTGGGTTGGACAAACCCTACAAGAATGGGTAGGAGGACCTCTGAAGGTGCCCTGCCCATGAGCCTACTGTGCCACCTGCACCCTCCCTTGCCTGCCCCTCCTTAGCTCTGCCTGTAGCTCTCTGAGGCCTTTTGGGGATCTCTACCACTTCTTCCTGGCTGGGGGACAGCAGCTGTGAGGCAGTCTGATGTTCAGAAGAAAAGAGGAGATTGAGGCAAGATGGAGGCAAGATGGAGGCTACAATTAGCTCTTCCCTCCTCTGCCCATAAGAGCAACCTCATGCCTGAGTTGGCTACTGGCACTTTATAAGGAGGCAGGACAAGTCAGAGGGGTGAGGAGTGAAAGTCAAGTACCTGTCATAGGTGATTTTGCCCTGGATTGCCTAATTTGTTGGCTAAACACAGGAGATTTATAAAGAGGTCATAAAAGCTGCTAATTGCTCAGTGGGGATTTTCTGAATCTGTCTCCAGGTATAAGGAAATAATGATTTACTTGTGTTAGTGACAAAACAAGCAAAGGTCTGATCATAACTGATTTTGGGAAGCCCTGAAGATTTCAGTGACACCAACAATAAATCAGTAGCATTGAACCTTCATCACCATAGTTACTTTCCAGAGCTGTCTCTAAACAGCTGCCAGTTGTATGAATAAATGGCAAATAAAAACCCCAGGGTGGTTAGATGCAGTTCTGAGCCAAACCCTGTTTTCTTTTAACGAAAACACCTTGCATGCATATTCTGTCCATGTACATATGTATGTATGTACAACTGTCTAGATACGTGTGTTAAAACACATAACACCCAGGGAAAAATGAGATTCCCTAACAGAGGTAGCATAAGAATACAACCATTCTTCTCTTAAAAACTGAAAACTCCTTTGTTACTAAACAACGAATCTCTAACCTACCAGTAACTGAGTGATAGCCCATGTCCTTCAGGCATAGCTCACAAATGCTTGTCATTGCTGTTTGTTTGGAAGCAGACAAATAAGAGTTTAGCAGATCTGGGACTGAATCTCTAAGTCAAATTTTTCATCTCCCTGTTAAGAAAAGGAATAGCAGCCTGAGACAGTGGTTTTATTTCTCCTTATTATGTTTTTATATTCTGTTTAATGTTTTTGATCTTGATACTGCTAAATAATTTTCACTTCTCTAAATGAGATCAAAAAGTCTACAATAAAGCTGATTTGAAAGTGTTGTTAATGTATAATTATTTGCTGAGTAACGGGATGAATGCTGTTAGTGCTGTGCTGTGAGAACCCCCTGGCTGAGTTGCTGCATCAAGAGAGACTGGGATTTTATCCCAGATAGCTGGAACTGCCTAAAGAAAACACAGACTTTTGAAGTGGAAAGGTTTGGACCAAGTTTGAGTTACATCAAAACATTTTATTTAGAGGAGACTGGCAAGAGCAAAAGAAGCCCTCACCCCTCTCTAATGGCAGCTCAGAGAGACCATGGGCTGCAGAAAGGTGAAGTTATCCCTGTTCCCAGGCATAAGTCCCTACGCAAACATTAGCTACAACAAGGATTGACAGGTCTGGCACTGCATGCCCTGGGCATACTGTTATGGTCTCCCTTATTTCATGTGAATTTGAATGTTAGAAGGACAGAAGATTTGGGGGTTAAATTAAATAGTTATCCCTCAGCTCCACCTTGGGCACTGGCACTAAAGAGAGATTGGAAGTTAAAACACAAACACATTTAATCACACAATTGCATTGTGGAGCTCTTAACTGAGGTTTTCCAAGATCATACGTGAGTGGAAAGATGAAGATGAAATGACTCACCATCACCGTCTGCTGAGGTGCAACCACTTTCCCCAAAAGTGGTGTGAAGGAACATGGCGAAAATGCTCAGTACAGTACTGGGCTGTGTCATCCTGAGCACGCTGCATGCGTGCAGTGGGGCTGAGTGCGAAACCGCTCCTTTATAGGAGCCCCGAGCAGCCCCGAGCCCGCCAGCGAGGGGAAATGTAAACATGCCTACGCGCAGCAGGGCTGGTGGCAGCGGGCAGGAAGCCAAAGTAAAGATAACTGCTGAGCTTTTACTGTGAGACAGCTTCCTACTTCTGGACTGAGCACCTTCTGGATCAGGCCTGCCAACTCATTTGGACAAACCTGGTGAAGACCAGTGGGAAAGGGAGCACACTTCATGACAAGTGCTCCTGACTCAGCTGTGGTGATTTGTGCTGCTGGTGCTAAGAGCATGGTTTAGTTTTTGCATCCACGTTGCTCCCAAGAGAGATGCACAAGTCCAAGGGATAAAAATCTTCCAGGTATGAAACATTAGGTATGATTGCTTCTGTTTTTTCTTTACCAGGATCAAAAGCAGCACTGCCAGCAGGTGATTCTTTACTCTTGTGTGATTCTTTACTCTTGTGAAACCCTAGCTGAAGCACTCCATTCAGCACCAATAAAAGAAGGACACAGGCATGTTGAATCAAGTCCAGAGGAAGCCAGTAAGATAAGGAGAAGGCTGGAAAGCACCTCCTGCACAGACAGGCTGGGAGAGCTGGAGTTGTTCATTCCACAGAAGAGAAAGCTCTGGGGAGATTTTATCATAGCCTTTCAGTAAGTAAAGGATGCTTATAAGAAAGATGGGGAGAAATTATTTACCGTGGCCTGTAGTGACAGGACAAAGGGAAATGTTTTTAAAATAAAACAAGGCAGATATAGATTGGGCATACAGAAGAAATTCTTCTGAGGGTTGTGAGGCTCTGGCACAGGCGGCTCAGAGAAGCTGTATCTGCCCCATCCCTGGAAGTGTTCAAGGCCAGCTTTGAGTAATGTGGTCTAGTGGAAGGTGTCTCTGTACATGGCAGAGGGGTTGGATAAAGGAAATTTCAAAGCTCCCTTTCAACCCCAAACCTTCTGTGATTTTATGAAGTCTACATAAGACAATCCTGACCCAAGAAAACCTGTGATTTGAAAGACTAATCCTGCAAAACCTGGCTCCTGAGACCAATGTGGCACATCTCACATTTTTTTCAGGTTTTGGACAAAGCAAAGGTGGAAAGTGAAAGATAAAGAGGTGTTAGATATTTCCTTTGCACCCTTTCTGTGGCTGAACACACAGACGCACACTGGAGTGTAAAGCAGGGCTGGGCACAGGGCTGACTGATGTGGCTAACTACAGGTGAGCTGAGGGCCTGAAACAGAGGAGCAAGCTCTGGCACAACCCTGGCTGCACCGAAAAATCTTCAGGTTGGAGGTGTAAAGGAAGCTGAGGGCAAAGCAAACAGAAAAATAATGACAGTATAATAAGGAGGCTTAATATGGAAGCCACATCAGTATTTCTGTTTGCAAGGAAATAATTGAAAATGCTCACCAAAGTGGAGAAAACTCAGGTCTCATAGCTAGAAAAGTTTCCTTCTTTCCAGGACATCAGAGACTGTTCTGCAGTGTCTCTTGCTGCTATAGACAAGGGGCACTAGGTAGCCAACGCACTCTTTCTGGACTTCCCCGCCCAGTTTTAATAGAAGAAATGGTCCCCTTTCTACAAGAGTTCAGGGAGGCTGACTGGAAGATCTTCAAAATCTGTATCAAGTCCTGCCTTATGGAGCCTCCCTGGGGCTCCCCACCCAAGCACTCCCTGCAGGTGCACTAAGCCCAGGCAGGTAGAGAAGAGTGGGTCTCTTAGGCCAGACGTGGGCATTTACTGTGTGTATTGCTGTGTCAGGACTCTCCTTGTGTCACTTCTGTCTGGCCAGGGAAGAGCACAATTTGCCTTGTCCTAACACAGACATTAAAAAGATGAAATCTAAACCCATAAAATGCACTTTTTTCCTCCACTGAAGAGAGTGCCCAGGGTGAGGCAGGCTAGATATCTGCTCAGCAGATTCATATCTCCTACTCACCAACAGGAGAGGGACCTGTCTGGCCAATGACACAAAGCAAGAGCTGGACATGGTGAAGGGCCATGGAGCCACTGGAGGTGGCACCACCATGGGCTGACTGACTCTCACTTGAGAGCTTGATTCCTTTTACAGAACTGTTTGTGCCACGGCTAAATTCACGTGGTATCCCTTCAAGGAATTCCCTCTCTCTGAGTCAGCTCGAGAACTTTAGCAGTCACTTGTACTCATCTCTCATGCTCAAGTTTTCTGTGCTTGACCAAAGTACATTGCAGCCAAACTTGAATTAGTGAGATTTTGAGTCCTGGTGATTTCTCACAACTAAGGCTTACCCCTTGCTTGCTTTAGAAAAGACTAGTTGAGAATTTCAACCCTTTTCTTAATAATCTTCCTTGTCATTTTATTCTAAAATCCCTCAATGTAATTTCTACTTCATTTTCAGTCAGAAATTTCATTAAAGAAAGGCTCTCCTGTGCAAATTGGTCACTATCCAGAAATGACACCTTCTCACTTTAAATTTGTCTTGTTTATAATTGAGTGGGCTATCACTTTGATCTTTTTTTTTTTTTCTTTTTTCCTGTTTCAGTTGGAGCAAAATAAAAGAAAAAGTCTCTTCAGACATAATATTTTTGTTGAACATGAATAATCTTATTATCAGAGCTGTGCTGCTCAGGGGATTTCCATGTTGTCATGACTGCATTTTGTCTGGGTGGGGAAATGAGGGACCACAATGAAAAGAAAAAAACTAGTATCGAGAATACCCTGAAGCAAAAGTACATTTTGTTTTACTTCTGCACCTCTGCTTCAGAAGCTGTTTCATTTCTAGGAGATATTTGAGTCTATCCGTCTCACCTTGTTGCCTTTCTCTGATGTCTGGGGCATAGGAAATGAAATCTGTGAGTCTAAATCATAGAACAGCTGAAGGGTTAGTACTCAGAAGAGGCTAAAAGAAAGATGGATTACTTTTCACTTGCAATAAATTTTCACTGCTTCTATCTCCTCATTGCAGATTCCACAAAAAAACCCAACAAACCACCATCAACTAAACCAACCCACAACAAAAACCCCTTCTGGTTTAAACAGGTAACTTTAGAAGGTCCACCAAAATGTACCTGTGCTTTATTCATGTGCCAGCTCCCTTTGGGTCCCAACACTGTTTTGGAGCTTCTGAGTCATTGCATGGCCTCTTACGTTTTTAGCCATTAACGAAGTCCATGTTGCAACCTCCGTGACTATGAAAAGGAAGTTTTTCAGTGCCCTGTGGCGCACAAGTGTGGGCTGTCCATACAGTGTATCGGCTCCTAAGCACTTTCTGCTGCCCTACATATTTTATATACAGTGTTTCCTTGGATTATCACTTTTGTTGCAGCTGTTGACTAACCAGGCAAGTCATCCAGAAGTTAGCATCCATCTTTGCTTCTTATACTGTTTGTTGACTCATGTTTGCTTTTTTTCTCCTTAGGTCACAAAAGTATTTTTTGATTCTGCTTTGACTCCAAAAATTGCAGAAAGTTTCTGCACACGTGCTAAATTCAAATCTGCTATCAGTATGTGTTTAGAAAGATGAAGTGAATAAATCTCTTCCTTCTATCAACAGTACTTTTCAAAGGCTTCAGTTCAGGGAATTCCCAGAACCTCTGGGAGAGAGGAGTGGAGTGGATCCTCCAGACACATCCTAGGGTGCAGCACTAGAGACAGGACATGTGTACACTTATGGAAGGAGGATACAGAAATCCTTGTGTTTGAGGAGCTCAGTGGTGTGTCCTGGTTAGATACCCATGGATACCCATGGTCCATCTTGGGACTGGGTGTGGGAGGAACTTTTTTCAAGTTGGTCATAGTTGCCGGAGCTGCTGGGATTCTTGGCCCTTTTTAAGGCATGGGGGGGTTCCTCTGCTCCCTGGGCTGTCAATAAATTATCTCATTGTATTACAGAGTCTCATTAGAACTTGTATTATGTAAATGCTCAAACAGACTTCATAATTTGACTTTTATTTTTTTAACTAGATATGCCAGGAATCAGAAATTTTGCAGCCAGCTTCAGATGTGAAGAGGAGGATTTCTACATAAAACAAACAAACAAACAAACAAAAAACCTTAAATCTTCTCTTTTTTTGTTGCTTCCTGATATTTTTTGTCCTTACCTGCTTCATAAACCTCTTTGCATCTCTGCCTTCTCCCTGGCAGAGGCATCCCTCAACAGTTCCTCAGCTGAAGGTCTGTGGGTTAGTCTTGGGCTGTTTTAAGAAATGTTCTGCTTGTCCAAGAGCAGGAGCACATGGGAGCCAGTCTTGCTTAAAGCAAAATAGCCATGAACATAATTGAAGCCTTGAGTGAAGAAAAGAACCCTGAGATTAATGGATTTACTCTGCAAGACATTGTGTTTCACTTATCACCAAATTATTTTGGTCTGCATAGTGTGAGAACAATGCTGGGTGGAAGATACACAGTTTGTCACCATATGGTCCTGAAAAATGGACCCTTGTGTGACAAAGAGAAGAAAATTTTGAAAATTTTTCTGAACTGTCTTTGTCTTTGAGGTTTTGCCACTTAAAATGGCTTTGAACTTCCCCAGGGTTCATAAATTGGCACCATAATAACAAGGAGGACTGTTATACTGAGGGAAAAATACAGATAAGCTGGAAAAAACATTGCTGGCTGAAGTGTAAAGCAGGAGGAACTGATGTGTACTTTGGTCAGGCAATATTCAAATATTCTGAGATCAGACTAAAAACCAACAAGATAGACTGAAAAAAGTGAACTTTTTTCTCCCCTCCTTACGTAACAGATACAGCACCAGCAGAAGCAAGAACAGTCATATTAATAGGTCTGTACTTCTTTTATTTGTTTGCTAGTTTCTAAGTCTTCAGGGTGCCCAGGATATTATTTTCAACTGTCCTCTACAATAACTAGAGTTAAACCATAAAGACATGAAAGCTTAAATTGTTTTCATGTTATTTGTTTTAGGTCTAAAAGAGCATCTGCAAGATGTATTACTCACTTTTGAGATCTGGTAGGAAAGCACCTGTACTTGCTCAAATACATGTTTCAGACACAATGTTGGGCCAAAACCCTGTCATTTTGGTGACAATGGGGCATTTTGTGAATGTATTTTAATTCAGTAAAATGCTTCATTCTGACCCGTGCAACTTCTAAATTAAAGTTTTAAATTTTAATTATTTTTAATTAACTTGATTTTAGAATTGCCTTTAGTTTCAAAATGTGAACTACTAAAAATTGATTTGGTTTCATCTGAATACTTTCTTTAAAGATCTGTCCACACCAGATGTGGTTTCTTTTGGTTATTTAATATCTCACCATAGCCTTCCTGCATGCAGACCCCATTCCAGAAATAAATGCCAAGGGAATGTAGGAGGCATAATTCCAATATATGACTAGTACATTACTCAGAGCTGAACACTTTTGTAAGCTTAAGATGAAAAACAGGCATAGACCTCAGCAAAGAGGAAAAAGGGAAGGAATAAACAGAGGCAATGTGATGGCACGTCCCTGTAAAACAGAATAAGTGGACAGAAATCATCTTGAGGAAGCTGAGGCTGGTGGCATGTGTGAAAGAGCAAGAGGAACCTGAAACAGTGTTTGTAATACTTATGTTTATTGTGCTCTGGATGTGGGGCTTCCCCAGCACCAGGTAAGAGGGAGGGAGGTGGGGAGAGTGTGCACCCAGTGAGAGTGGCAGCACCTCCTTACTGCTCCCCCTCCCCACCTGGGCAGGTGCAGGATCTGCCTGGCACAGTTCAGTGTGCAAGTACTGTCAGCAGTGGCTCCTGCATGGAGGTGAACAACAGCAGGAGCTGAAACTGCAGGGAAAACAGCCAGTGTCGAGTGCAGGTGTTGTGGCAAAGGCAGGACGCCTGTGGCCCCTGGGGAGCTGGGGATAGGTGGGAAGGGAAGGACCATGGCTGCTGGGCTGGGTGCCCTGACGAGAGGCGGACCCTGCCTTCACCCCATTTCCATGGGTTTTGTGCTGCAGTCCTTGGGTGGCAACCCCCCTGTCCCAGTCCTCATGCCTGCTCCCAGAGATCCTCAGGGAGAGGCACATCCTCCAGTGATGAGCTGAGGAGAATGATAGCTTTCTGAACTGAGGTTTGTGCTGTTTAGGTGAATTGTGGACCTGGTTAGCAACTTGGATGGATCATGCTGCCAAATATCTGCCAGATATCTTTAATAGCTGCATAGGTTCCCTTTGCTTCTCCTTGCACATCTCAGCACATCCCAGTCTTCCAGTGGCTCAGCAAGCAGCACTGAAAAGGCAGCTACAGACATGCTCACTGTTAGCCACAGGGATAACAGAATTTACTGGTTAAATATATCATGATTTAATGTAGCCTTGTTGGTAAAGCTAGAGTCACTAAAATAATTTGGAGAATGTTTTTTATAAAACACGTACCTTAAGCAAATGAGCACTAGATAAATATTAGATAAC